CATATCAGCCAGCGCAACACACAACATTACTGTGAAGAATACAATAAAGAAATATCCTATGCATGCAGGCTGTACACAGTCATTAAAAAGGAAGACATCCTTCTGGGTGTTTTGCTGCACCTCAGTGTTGGAAAGTGTAAGTACATTCATTACTTTCTGCTGGTATTCTGCCACAGACTTGCTCTAGATGAATAGTGCCACCATGAGCATCACCATATAACAACTGACTGGTTTTGCAATAAACATTGGTCCTTTTTTACTTGTTTTTCTCTTTTCAAATCTGTTAAGTAAAAACACAACAGCAGCAGTGTTGATTAAATAAATGCAGTGGTTTAAAGGGGATACATTACTGTAAAAAATGCTGAGAATACTGTAGCCTACTCTTTAGACAAAAGAAAACTATGTGTGGTGCAATGCAACCATACTCCCAAAGAGAAATGAGTTTCAAGCACTCCTTTTAAACCACTATCTGTGGAATTTGTGGAATCTCGGGGGAGGCTTGTAAACAGCCAACAGACAATCATCATCATTTGTCTCCCAGGCTTTAAATCATTAGGTCTACAGATCTTCAGCATTAAATCTATGATTTACGTTGTGTTTTACCTTCTGAATAGAAGGTAATATTACGGAAAGTAATATTATGGTAATTAGGCAGCTTTAGTGTCAGGATCGTTGTTGGACGAAGCAAAGAAAACACAAATACTATGTGTAGGCTATCACTTTATTAATATTTTACAAATCACATCATGTTTAGTCTTTTAAAGTAGTTTGTTTAAAGGTGACAAATCATGAAAATCTGACTTTTCCAGGTTTTAAGTGCTATAATCAGGTCCGCAGTACATCTACCAACCAAGGAAACGTGAAAAAGGTTAACCCAGTAACTTTGCTTTGGTAAGCCTTTTTCTGCAAGCGTCTGAGGGACGTGGCAAAGGGATCTCATTATAATATTACCGCCCCTTAAAGTCACCATGAAATCAAAATTAAAAATTCTTATTTTTTAATGGAATACTGTAGTGTTTATTATAAATAATTAATCCATGCACTTCATTATTTTTTTTAAATTCATGTGTCATTGTAATCTTTAATCAAAAACATTAACCTCCCCTCCCCCTCAAAACGACTCATCTTCTCTTCCGGTCACGAGCTATGGCGCAAGGGCGGAGCTAGTGACGTGAGGGGTAAACGCTGGGATAAACGACAGGGGGAAAAGCTGAAGCTGATGCTTCACTTTATAGCACTGACACCAGTCATGAGGGAGTATGTTACCCCTAAACATTGAAAAGATATTAGGATATTACGACAACATTACTCTTAGGACATCGCAAACTAATTTTTTTTCATGAATATGACTTAATCTGATGGAGGACGCGCTCAGTCATTCATGCAGTCTCTCTCTCTCTCTCTCGCGCGTGCTGTTTAGGCATGTTTTGTGCCGTTGATCGTCGTCGTTATCCTTAATAAATAAAACGTTTATTCATGCTTGGGTGTTGGCTGTGAATCCAGTGGAGAGAAATCCCCCACCACTAACTGCAAACTGACATTCAGATCTGCCTCCATTTTGTTTGCAACGACCCCACCTTCCAACGATCCAATCAATTCCCGAAGGACGAAATCAAGTCCCGCCCTCTCATTCAGATGCCGTTTCACTCGGATATACGTAACGGTAGAGAAGAAAAGACAATCGCAGCTTCCGTTTCATGCCGACTTTAAGGTGGTTTGTTTACAATATGGCATCACCAGGTGATGCGTGTGCTATCGGGAGTTAGCACTTCCTGTGACAATTTGTTGTCATGGTAACCAATGCATGCCAGTGCAATTCAAACAGTTTAATGTCTGCATATTTCAAACAAGTTGCACACAGTTTTAAAATACGGTGCTTTCAGTCCTCCAAGACTTTGTCATATTAAATAAGCTTAAATATTATTTATTATTAAATAAGCTCTTGTTCTATCCAGGCTGGACTACTGCAGTGCTCTCTTGGCAGGTCTTTCAGCCACTTCTATCAAACCTCTACAATTAATCAAAAATGCCGCTGTAAGATTACTCTTTAATGGGCCGAAAAGAACGCACGTCACACCTTTGTTCATCAATTTGCACTGGCTACCAGTAGCTGCTCGCATAAAATTCAAGGCATTAATGTTTGCCTACAAAACCACCACTGGCTCTGCACCCCTTTACCTATATTCATTACTTCAGACTTATGTGCCCTCTAGAAGCTTGTGTTCTGCAAGTGAACGACGCATTATTGTGCCATCTCAAAGAGGCACAAAATCACTTTCACAGACTTTTTCATTAACTGTTCCCTCCTGGTGGAATAACCTGCCCAACTCAATCCGAGCAGCTGAGTCATTAGCCATCTTCAAGAATCGGCTAAAAACACATCTCTTCCATCTTTATTGGACCCGCTAACTCTAGCACTTTCTATTGTACTTTAATTCTACTTTATCTATTTATCTATTAAAAAAAACTAACACTAGCTTTCTATTTTTTCTATTCTATCTACTTGTTTATCTTTGTTTGTGTGTGTGTGTATATGTGTGTGTGTGTGTGTGTGTGTGTAT